AAACAGGGGCCATAGGTTCAAAAATTCAAAAATTCTGGCACAATACATTCATAAAGCAATGTTATATGCACGAATTCTGATAATTAACTAATCCTCTGACAGTATCACTGCATACAAATTAGCAATGTTTATGCACACACATGATTAACTTTAGCCCATGGCATGCCAAATGCTTTAGTTAGGCTTTTAGCCTAATATCTAATTATCTTCAGGGCTGCTTAATGGCTACAGGACAGTATTCCTGGAGAATTTCCCACCCCATTCTGAAATAGGTAAGCTGATGTGCCCACTGGGAACAAGGATCTTCCTCTTTGATGTCTGGGAAAGGACCCACACAGATTGGGAAGCTCTATCCTACCCAAGCTGCCTCAGCCTCTTAAAGGCAGCCAAGGATCTCAGAGTTCAAGGTCTTCAAAAATAGGCTTATGTACAGCAGATAGTATGCTTTAATAATAAAATGCTTATACATGCAGAGGCTCTCCAGCACTTGGCAACAGACATTATTCCGGTTCAGAAATCTCAGCGTTTTACTTCAGGCTTGTATGTCTGGGTTTTAGTGTCTTTTTTAGATATTGTTGAGTTTCCCTAGCTCAGTATCTAGGGCTGAAGACTGCAAGCCCTTTCGGATCACTGCTCATCTTCAAAATTTGATGTATCAAAGTACTCAGAGCCGCACCTTTAGCACGAGGTACCTGCGAGACGTCCTGTGAGCTCTTTACTTGCAGCCTGCACAAAGAACACTGGAGGTCACTCCAGAGTTGCTCAAGTAACAACTTTTTCCAAAGAGAGACAGACACCAATTTTTTTTCAACACTCGGTTGTGTGTAGCTGGTTAAACATAACACCCTGTGTGCCTTCTACACAGTCAACTCTCACTATTTATTATTTTACTGAAATTGCACGTTTATACCGAGTCCTAGATTAATGTAAATGCAAAATAAAGGCAACTACCATTTAAACAAAAAAAACAGGTTTCTTCTTAGTTCTGCTACGAAACAAAGGCTCCTAAATTCAAACGACAGAAGTCAGACATTGCTGTGAGGAAGCAGCGTGTGTGTGGGAGCACAGGGGTGACCTGCCGTGCTGTCCCCACTGGTCCCGCCCCTGGGGGCACAGACAGGCAGCCCTGGCTCTCTCTTGCTTTCAAGTAAAAAAGTCCTTTGTTAATGAGACCACACTGTCATTTATTCTGGCTGTGTCTTATTTGGCTTTTCTGTATTTTGCATGGTTCCAGAATATAACTTTCAGCATAATTTTCAGTAGATTCAAAACATGTCTTGACAAGGAGATCAAATCCAAAAAAAACTCCAAAACACAAGCCCATAGTTTAGTAGTGATGCTAATTAACTTCATTCCTGAGACAAAGGAATTGTGCTATTATAGTTTCAGGCAGCTGTTAGAAACAGCAAGAGACCTCTGGTGAGGTGAATATCTGTGTGGGACAGACGTTAATGACACCACTCCCATTGATTTTGCTTGCTCTCAAACCCACGTAAAATAGTAAAAAACATAATGATTCTTCATTTTCTCTTGAACATTTTCCCTAAGCAGCTCAAAACCGCTCTGTAGATAAGTACCAATCTCCATATTTTCTCAGCTTACAGAAGAATTGTCCTAACAACAACAAAAAAAAGCCATAAAAAATTCTTCACTAAAAAATGTATTTAACATTTCAACCAAGAAAGGGAGTGTTTAAAAGAGACTCTCCTTTCAAAAAGTAAAAAGGAAAATGTGGTCTAGAGTTCTCAGAGAAGTAAGTACTACTTAGTGCTACTTCAAAGCAAAAATTGGTTCTGTAGCCTAAAACAAGAGTATTTTAAGTTAGATTTTAAGGACACCTTAAATGTATGACCCCCAGTAATATAATGGATTCCCCTCCCAGGTTCCTTCAATGAAAATAACAGAACAAGGCATCTGGAAAAGCAGGAAAGGCATATTTTGTGTTTCATATAGCTGAGGGGAATTTTTCCCTCTTAGCAACTGTCCTTAATAAGTGGGCAAAATTCAAGATGTAGAGCATTTGAAAGTTTTCTGTTAATCTTTTCTGAGTAAAATAACTTTGTGCAAATAACATAAAAGACTCAGGTGGTAACATTCCAAATATTGCATGGATCTCCAGGTCATTAAACAACTTTAAGCGTCAAAAGGCATTCATTAAAAAAAAAAAAAAGAACCAACCCAAAAAAACAACAGCTGTGGTTCAATCCCTTCAGGAAGTGTTAGAACAAATACCCTTACTGGAAGGGGTCTTACCAAAATTGAACTTTGGTGTGGTTTTATAATTTGGTTTCCTTTTGCTTTGAACAGTGAAAGTGCTCTTGCACTGCCTAAGATCTTCCTAAAAAAATTACCTGTACACAGATTTCAAAAAGTCTGTATTCTGTAAAGAAAATTAATCTTGTAGCATATCCATCAGTGTAGAAGGAAACAACTCTGCTCTTTGTCCTCAAGTAAATTAAAAAAAAAATAAAAGCAGCAGCAGCTTTGTACTAGAAGCCCCAACAAGTCTTTTCTGACAGAGACATGACAAATACTTGTTTTCCCAATAGCAAACATGATCTGACAGTCTCCACTTCTTTAAGAAGTTCCCATCAGCTATAATACACTGTACTGAAGGCACTACTTTTTTTCACCCTTTTAAACTCCTTTAAACTATGGATACATCTTGTGCTTTCTAATACCTGTCTGTTCTCTGCATTGCCCAGGTCAGGTTTCCAGAGAAAAGTCCTAAAAGACTGTTTTCATGAGCCTATTTTAAGATCTTTACTAATTCAGCAATATTTTTGGTACTAAGGCAAAGATTTATCATGAATGCTTCTTGACCAATAATTCATACCAAAAAAATAAAATGGAAGTAGGGAAGCACAGTTATCAATATCGCTCCAGCTACTCATAAAAAAAAAAAAAGAAAAAAAAGAGTATTAACAAGAGCTCTGACTATAGGAAAGAAAATGAGGTAAAATTATTATTTTTACCCACTGCAGCACAGGTACGAAGTCAGGTTAGATTTCCATTGTACTACCGCTGGTACAATTAACTGTTGCTAGGGTAAAAAAAAATATATCTACAGTTAATTAAATTACATATAAAAGCCATATGATAGAGACATTTTGTAATAACTGAAAGAAAAAGCAAAAACGAGAAAAAATTAACATCACTGCGGGAGCTGACGCAATGCCTGATCGTTACTGTATTTTGTCACAGTTCCTGGCTGCCCTCTCTCTACCCCGTTCGGGTGCGCACATTTAACTCGCAGGAGCAGACACAGCCTTTAGGTTTCAGGCTGGGACGCTCCAAAGCGCCCGGAGATGTTCGTGTTCCCTTCGCGTTCCCCGCGCAGTCCCTGCGCCGCGGGGCCGCCATGGCGGCGGCTCCCCTCAGACGGGGGGGCGGGGCCCGCACCGCCCATTGGCTCCGCAGGGCTGGGGGCGTGGCCTCCCGCGGCGGAACGCCCTATAAGGGGCCAGCCGGGCCCCACTGTCGCCAGCAGCAGCGATGGCCGAGTGGTTAAGGCGTTGGACTTGAAATCCAATGGGGTCTCCCCGCGCAGGTTCGAACCCTGCTCGCTGCGGTCGGTGACGGTCACCTTTTACCTTTTCGCCGTGTTGTTTTATTTCTTATAATACACAAGTTTTACTTCTCACGTCTTCTCTCGCTGCTAAACCTCCGCAGCACAATGAGAGATTACCCAGTTATTTCACAGGATCGGCAAGACTGAAGGGACCGCAGTGCATCATCCAGTCCAACCTCCCTGCACCCGGCACAGAAGTGCATCCAGACAGTTCGGGGATATCCCCAGTGAGGGAGACCCCACACTCTCTCTGGGCAACCTATTCCAGCGCTCGGTCACTGCACAGGAACAAAGTTCTTCTCCATGCTCAGGTGGAACATCCTGGGCATCAGTTTCTGCCCGTTGCCTCTCGTCCTATTGCTTGGCACCACCAAGAACAGCCTGGCTCCATCCTCTTGGCACCTCCCCTTTAGATATTTAGACACAATAAGGAGATCCTCTCTCACTCGTCTCCTCTTGAGGCTGAACAGGCCCAGCTCCCTCAGCCTTTCCTCATACGAGAGATGCTCCAGTCCCTTAATCGTTTTTGTTGCCCCTATAATACTTATCCTATTGCTCATTTGGCCAGGCCTACACACTCCTCCCCTACTTCTGACAACAAATAGCAGCAATAGGTCCCAGGGCAAGTTTTTGGCATTGCATCTGAAGCACCTGTGATAAGAGCAGGTGGTGGAGGTGAGAGAAGGGCACATGGGGATCAGTGTTCTTTCAACAGCTCACTGTCCAGGCTCTGGGGACAGGACAGGCAGTGTCCAAGTGCAAAGCTCAGGATTAATCCAATGCCTTACACAAAAACATTGTACTGACCTGCCCAAAGGACTATTGTCCTGCCCCTATGTCCAACAGCTTATACAAAATAAATAAAATCCTGCCAGCAGCAGGCTACTCTGTATGGAATGCATTTGCTCCATGGAATCTTCCCTCTCGTGAAGGAAGCTGATCCGATTCCCCCTAGACCTCCACGGAGGGGGTCCTAGATCATCTTCTCCAGCCCTTTATGACCTTCTGCACATGCATGACATGCACACACACACGCAAAATCTGGCAATGACGGGGAAAAAAGCCCCACAGAAGTTACTTTGCAACTAAGAACCAGGAAAAAACAAAAGAAGGCCCCCTCAATCCCCTCTTTCTGACTGGCTTAAACTGACTTGCACCACTCAGGTGTGTTAGTCTCCTCCTATGTGTGGCTCCTGCATTAGTGAAGGGCTGAAAAATTCACCAAATCACATAAGAAAAGGCTGGAAATAAGAAAAAGACCGTTTTCACAGAGGCCAAAATAGGCCAGAGCAGGAACAACCACTTTTCACTCCTCTCTCTCTCTTAAAGACAAGAGAAAAAAACCCAACACAAACACACATGCAAACCCATTTATTCTAGGATCATGTTTTGTTAATGCAACTTAATTTAATCAAAAAATAGAGACGGGGAAAAAAAGGAAACAGTGATTTATCCCCACTCAGAAAAAATAAAAGAGGGAACAAACGAACAATTGTTTAAGCTGGCAGCAAAATGAACATTTCAAAACGCTCCCTAACCAGGCTTTCCAGGGATTTCAGGTGTTGGTGTTTGTTTCTGTTAGGGCACATGTAAGTTAGAAGGTACACTTTAGAGGGAATCTTAAACTGCTAAATAACTGACAACGGGACTGTGTAATATATGACCATAATATCAGGCATTTCTCTTAAGTTCTCACAGGTGAAAGTATGTGCCAGTGGATACTGGAATTGGACATCTTATCTCAGACATTGAAGAGGAGGCAGTTTTTAAATTCAATACCAACATATATATCCTTTGCTAAGGTGCAGTACATGTGCTACTTTCTCCTTAGCATATTTATATTCTCACAGCAGCTTAAAATTCTGTGTTAAGAACAGTACAACACGTTAGTCACTCTGCAAAATATCAAAATTTTGGGGGACTGTGCACATTTCAGATAACTTCAAAAAAACCCACCCTATTTTCCACATATAAGGCCTGATTTTGTTTAATCAGCCAAGAAATTAAATTATTTTTTTTTCCTTTATAATTTGAAGATCCTTCCCACCTCTGTAATCTCAAACAGAAGAGAGAAACACCATTTTGTGTAACGCAGTTTTGGGGGGCTTTCCAAATTAATAAAGAGATAGTATTGAAAGACCCAAATTCCTAAACACAGTGGCCAAGCTAATCCTTCTTTTCCACTGTATCACTGAAGAAGTTGACAGGTTTTTTTCTGACCAGTTTCAGTGTCTTATTTCCAAAAGACATGTTTCATTGTTTTCATAAATCTGAAGACAAAGCACCAACCCAAATAAACATTTGTTAGGAAGTTTATTTCAGGATGTCCTTTTCACTGGACCTTGCAGGGGCTGGAAATGTCAAATGACTGACACCAAAATATGTAGTTATTTTAAATTTTATATTGAAAAACAAGAGGCCGGTCTGTCAGAAAAACAACTAAACTCTGCTCACTGTAGGAAGTATTTGCATTCAGTGAACCTTTTCAACTTGAGATTTTCCCCCAAACTTTGCAGTTGAAAAAAGAGCAGCAGCAAACACCCAAGTTCTTTCTCACTCTCACCCATCAGCGAGGTTTATGAGAATGTTCCCATCAAGGCACTAAAGGGGAAGAACCATACGATTTTAATTGCAGTTATTTTTTGTAATTACAGAAGAAAATAAGTAAGGACTGCCAAACAGCCTACTAAAGCTCCAGACACAGCACCAGTGTCCTGAGCTCTGGACCTCAAGTAGCAGAAGACACCAAAGGCACCCAGACCCAACGAGCTGCAACAGTCTCTTACTCCTCTGGGCCTTTCTGCTCATTCTCCTGCCCACCACCTACCCAGAGACATCATTCACACAAAGTCCGTGAGGAAGAGGAGGAGCTGACAGTCCTCTCTCCACCCAGCCAGAATTTAGGGGCTCCAAAGAAATGAATGACCAGCTGTGACAATCCTAACAAAGTCGTTTTTGTAAGGACTGATGCCCAAGAGTCAAACTGCATCTCCCTAGAAAAGCTGCCTGCCTTTGGTGCCAAGAGTCCTTCCATATTTTAAGAGAAGCACTTTTGACAAAGCAGCAGGCAAATCATTTTGTCCAAAGCACTGAGTACCACAACACATATCAGGGCTGGAAACATTCTGAACTTTGGCAAAAAACTTCATTTTCTAAAAGTAGCCCCTCTCCATTACTGCCCCACCAGAAGAAGGGAGAAAGAGCAAACCAGTGTGAAGATGGAATAGAGGAAAGAAAATTCATTTTCTCCAGCATCCATCATCTGTGACAGGTTAGAATATCCATCAGAGACCTAAAACGTTTAAAAGCTCCCAAGTGTATACTGTGTACCACTGTAATAACTCTGTCCCAGCTTTGAAGGGCTTGTGTCTAACAGAGCACCTGAAGGGTCTCATCTTCTTTAACACCAGAGGGAGACGAGACTAAATATAGCGAAGGTGAAAGCACAAACATACCCAGTGCCTGCCGTCATGGGGAGGCTTGGCAACTCCTGCAACAGCAGGATGATGTGTACACTGGGCTGCCACAAAAGTACCCAGCATAAACTAACTGATAAACGTCTCCCCATCTGACAGTGACAGAGCCCGACAACTTACTGAGGTGCTTTATCTTTAGCTGTGTAATTTCATCAGCTTTACAACAGCCTCACTGCTTACACTTTCATATCCTGAAACGAGAGATGAGCCTGCTGGGAAGGTAAGATAGCAATGTTCATGCTCAGGAAATTAAAGCTACCCAGTATCTATTTTAATCATCATCAGGATACTTGCTTCTATTATAAAACTTATAAACTACTTTTTTTTTTTTTTAAATCTCATTTAAAGAGGAAAAGAACATTCAGGAACCAACCTTACCTATCATTCAGCATTACTCAGCCTGAGATTTTAAGTATATACTGTCTGTATTTATCATCCAAAGTTTAACTCTTACATTGCTACATGGGAAGTGTTGGCAAAACAACCTGGCAAATACTGGCAAAACAATAAGTTTGTCAAGAACTAGAACATTCTCTGTCTTACATATTCAGCATTTGCACAACAAGTATGACAGCAGTAAATAAAATTATAATAATTTTACATAATTCAAGGGTCCCCCCCAGCTGCTCAGTTACACTGTAAACAACTGGCTAAATAGTTGCTTAATTTCTGATCTTACAAATACAGTCTCAAACACCTAGAAACACAGCATTCAACAACATGCCCCATTCTCTGTATTTTATCATCATCATCCACCTGCACCCCCATCTGCTATCTCGTAACTTCCACATTGAAGCTTTTCAGCCCTCACAAGTGCAGTAATTGCCAAGCTTTATTAACACTTTTGACTGGACTCCAGAGGAACTGGGCTCACCTCACAGTTTATTCTCATACCAAGTCATTCAGAGCTGTAGCACTCCAGCACAGTAATGCTCAGTTGTTGTGATGGAAGCACACAAAGTCAGGCCCCTCAGGTACCCAGAACATTCAGAGCCCTTTGTTACCCACCTAAACAACTCACAAGAAGTGCTAAAGAAGAAAATGAGACCTTACCATCACTTGCAGAGAACTGCCCTCTTCCTCCAGCTTGAGACTCAAGGGCCCTAATCTAACATGTCGTGTCTGGGTTTGTCGCTGTTGTTCCCCCCCCACAACCAACCTCTTGCAGCTGTTTCCACTTTGTAAAGCAAGTTAAATTCTCTGTGTGCCACCGAAAACCACGTACACCTGACCATTGGCTCGTAATCACATCTTCACAGAGCCTGAGATCCACCTCACTACTCCCGACCCAGTCAAAATTTAAGTATGTGAGGTGTGTTATGTGCTCACCACTGCAGAGGCTGAGGCACCACACTGCAGATAAAAATGTTATGGGAAATATTTGCTGGGTCTTTTCATGCTACTGGCAGAAAAACTTCTAAAAAAAAAAAAGGCAAAGAAGCAGTTTACCCTTGGAGGGTGGACCCTGAGTCATCTAACACTGACTAATTTGTCAGGTGTTTATTTCTTTTCTTTCTAACATGATGAAGAACTAGGCTGCCCACTTATTCCAGCTAACTACTGTTACTGGCCAACAGGTCAGGTCCCACCTGTTTTTTGGGGGGAAAAAAATGTAAAAAGCTGCACAGGTTCCTCTGGTCTTCCAGTACCCCTGGGTTTGCTCTGCTAGGAATAGGTTAATTCAACTCTAGTTGAGAAATACAGAACCATTTCAAGTTTAACACATAGAGAAATAGTAAAAGAAAAAAGGCTGTATTGATGGTATTGGTGTTCTGGAGCACCAGTTATAACCTGCCCTCTTCAGAGGGCAAATACAAATTACAGTACTGATCTCTAGCAGGCACGTTGCAAAACACAAGTTTTGCCATCAGCTTTCACTGGGCTAAGAATCTTCCAAATATCTGCAATTATTCATCCAGAACAAACACCCAAAGGTTCTTTGCCAAAACAAACCGTGCAATAATTGGCTAATCACGACATCAGTTTTAATGACACGAACAATGAGCCTGCAGTTCAAAGGTCTATTGTGTACTCACTTCTCAAGGGAAACCAGCTCATTAAGTGCTAAATCATCCATCCAAATATCCCCTTTTACTTTTACTGGCAAGCAAAATGGTGGGAGGAGAATCTGAGCTGTCACCTGATTCAAAGTGCTCCAGTTGGCTGCATTCCCATTTTTTTGTCAGAGAGAGAATTGTTCCCTATTACTGTATATCCTTCAAATGAACCAGTTTCTTCTGTTACTACTGTTTGACACTGTTTCCAATCCCTCTTTATAATATGGACTGAAAGTCTTTCTTGAGCAAACACCTTTGTATGAAGTAAAGCACTAAAAAACCCCACTGATTACATTTATCAGATATTAGAGAATTATTAATCTCATCTCTATAATGTTTCCAGCTGCAAAATACGCAAGGAGAAGCACAGTAGGTCAGTCAGCACATCAGCCCTGCATGAGGGAGACAGACATCATAGCACTGTTTCCATGTTGGCAGAACATTGTACTTTTTAGGTTATACTTCCCAGTGAGATGCCCAAGATGCATAACTTAAGCTCCCTTAAGCTTTTACCCACTGAGGGTGCAAATAATAAGAAATTCTAAAGGGATCTCTGTGGTGGGTGAAGGATTTAATTAAAAAGATGAAAGCAACCCCTTTTCTGTATGCAGGCAGTTTTATTTGCTGCTGATGGAATTATCTGCCGACACAAAACCACGAAGTCTGACATATTAGCCAGATTTGCAAAGAAGAAAGCAAATACAAAATAAATAAACAGCTACATAGAATTTGAGAAGCTGCCCAAAATATCCAAAACCTAGCATGTGAGATTTTGTACACATAAGTGTTGGCTTCTCTTATTCTTCATTCCTACCATACAAAACCCTGATAAAACCATGTCTACCCCCACCTGAGCAGGGTGGGAAATTGCTGCGAAGCCACAGGACAATGCTGGCACACAAAACAAGGAGGATCAGTTGTCCACCAATAAATCTTAATTAAAAAACATTGCTAACTGGACAAGTAAAGTTTTGGAACTGCCTTCCAAAATAAATAGCTGGTGCAAAAAGTGTACTCATTAGGGTAGAAAGCAAGAGATTTTTTAGGAGTGCTTGATCTATCACAGTGACCTTCTTGGATAGTAAGGATCTTCTTTTTTCACCTCTATCGTAAGATCACAATTCTCCAACAAGTTAAGTTTGTAATGCCTGCATTATAAATTACTGCAGTGAGTACAATGCCATGGAGAAGTGAAGCAGAGCACAGAGTTCAGAAATAATCACAGTTTTGTTTACAGTTAATTGTCAAACAGCTTTAGGATGGTCATCTCTGAATAGAATGATACCCTGGAGTCCAACATTGGCTTTTGGTTCTACTGAGAGTATGTTCTTTATAACATCACAGCACTCAGAGAAATATTAACCACTACACAGTATTTCAGAATACAAGAAACAATATATAAGATACAAGATAACTTCACAAAATCATTTCATGTTAATACTGAAAAGGCTTTGCTTGTTAAACAAAAAGATCTCCACCTGCAATGCTCACAGCACGTGTGTGAAATCAGTATTTAGACATTGATTGGAACAACGTTCACATTACAATGAGTGAATACAAAACACAAATAACTTATAACTGCTGCCAAAAGAAATACTGAACTGTTGAACACGTGATCTCATGCTCTTGTATATTTTGCATTTTAGATCTCATAGTTTCTGAATTTCCTCAGGAGGTCTGACGGAGCATCACCTGACCAGCGGAAACGCAAGTGCCAGTAATTTCCCTCTGAAAATCCTGAGAAAGAAAAAGAGAAAGGCAAGTAAGTTATTATAAATTAAGTATAAATTTAAGTTGTCTGAAATAATACTTGATAGTCTTCACCAAAAAAAAGTAAATAAAAAATTGGTCACTTCCAGTGCTCCTGACCAGCAGGGTCAGGATTCTTGACATGTTTGAACAAGAACTCAAACACCAAACTTCAAGGTATAGATCAGCTGGGAAGAGTCCAAAAGAGAACAGCAAGAACAGCAGTCCACAAAAGAGGATTCACAAAATTAAACTGAACCAATTGCATTGGCTTAATCTAAAGAAGAAGAGACAGATGGTGACATGATAAATCTGCCAGTTAATACTAAAATGTGATTTTCTTACATCAGGAAAATGAAACCTATTAGCAGAATTAGTGTTAAAATCTCTTATTCAGGCTGGAAGAGCTGTGTTGAGTTGTAGTCTGTAACTTGTACAGACCAGCAGACAGGAACTGAAAACATCACAGTTTAAAAGTGGAATCCAATGTAGCAATTTTTCCTGGATCAAAACAAAAGTATTATCAACATTCTACCATTAAGTATAAACACTGAAGTACATATAGACCCTCTCAAATAAATATATTTTAATATCAACATTTATTAATGTAAATATATGCCTACTGGATAAATTAAGTAGGTGCTTGATGGGTTTGATATTTTTTCCATTCGAATATCTGGAAATTAAATTAAAACTTTAAAAAAAAAACAAACAATCCTGAGAAAGAAGATGCCTGCAAAGAAAATTCACCATTACAAGGAACAGGATGATTTTTTCTTTACTTCAAAATTTTACTGTTCTACAAGGGATACAGTGATGATTTAATTACCAAAAAAGGGCAAATAGTGTAAAGTTATAGAGCACAATTTTTCAATATCAAGTTGTTGGTCAGGCCTGACATACATTTGTTTGTATAATTTTCTCATCTATTTTCTGCATTCCATAAATGTTGGGGATTGCTATCCTCACAGCTGAACTTAATTTCCTGTTTGATCAAACTGGGAAAAAAAAATTACAGGACTTTGTTTAATAATAGTTCTCTGATAATATAAGCCTAAGATTCTGAAGCTCCTGAAGCATCAGGCAGAACAGAGGGTGGCTGTTGTGGTATGTAAACTTTGATCAGGCACACTGACCTAAACAACAGACAGAAGTACTGACTGGGTAGGTGACACTTTTGAAATACACATTTATTCTGGTTGCATGCACTATTTTAAACCTGTTTGAATACAAAAGAAGTCCTCAAGTCTCAAATTTTAGACCTCATTAACTCATCAGATGCAAACTGCTCAAAAGGAATAAATACTGGATAGAAAACAAAACCTAAATATTTTACTCAATAGTTTTAAAAGTTATTTTTTTAAAAAGTCACTGAAAATAACATCCTTTTTTAAAACTTTTCTTTTTCATATAGCAGCAAAACTAAATTTTCCATTTTGGTTAAAGGTTTTTTTTTCTTCTTCCTCTCCAGTTTTCTGGCTTTACTAGAAAACAAGCAAGGAAACACAGGGTAAGGAAGAAAAAAGTCTGAAAACTTCAGAATAAATAATAAAAAGCATAAACCCCAAAAACAAAACTCCAACCCAAAATCATGAAAAAAACCTACCAGTTAAACACGTTATTCTGAAGGAGAATTGCTCATGATTAAAAGCCCCCATTCCAGGCCAATCCCTGGATACTGCAATTTTCTGTAACTGCTGTTTTCACTTACTTGGGGAGTCTGGATTCTTTGAAGGCTGTGGTTTCACATCAGGAATTGCAACATCTTCTTGCTCTCTGTTCCCTCCCAACAATCCATCTTCATTGTTTTCCGTCTGTTGGGTCCAAATCTCATTAGTTATGTTGGTATTACTGAAGTCAGGAGCCTCCAGCATTTGGTCCTTCTTACTTTGGACAGCCCAGTGCATTGACTAAAGGAATGCAAAAATAACAAGTAGCTAATTCCTGTGCTGTAAAAAAGAAGTAATGAACTTTTCTTTCTTATATTGTTGTAATTAATGGTTAAACAAAGCATATATTAAGAGAAGCTTGCAGGTGAATGGACAGGGGAAAGCATGGTTACATGTCACAGCTTTGGAAAGGACAGTTTATGTCTCATGGGGATGAAGAACAAATGCATCAGATAATCCTAAGGACCTTCCTTCCAGTTTCTTCTGCCAGGAATTCAGACACAAAATTTTTTAAGAGGGCTTGAGTGACTTCAGAAATGTTCTTCTTCAAAGCTGAACTGAACTCAGTTTCATGGCATACTAACAGCAAACATTTAAGATCAGGCATAAAGCTTTAGTTGAAGAGGCTCAAACTTCTCTCCTAAGCAGAACTGAGGTGGGCAGAATTGACCAAGGAAACTTTTATTCACCTGCCTTAAAATATGACTATATAGACTTGTAACTATCATTCACTCTAATAAGGCAGAAAAAAAAAATCAAATATTATGGAATTAAGATCTGCTAGGAACACACTAGCAAAATTATGAGGGAAAACAATCCTCAGAACATCTGCCTCTGTCACAAGTCATCCCACTAGCCCAGCAGAGTCCCTCCAAAGCCATGTGTGAAACCCAGGGTTTAAAAGAACCTATCTTCTGGATTTTTCAATGAGCTCTTTCTCTAATCAGATAGCATGAAAACCTATCTGATAGGCAATACACCAAAAGAGAATATATTACAAAAAGGTCCCAGCTTTAATCTAACCTTGAAAATAAATAAAAGTTTCCTACAAAAACAAGGCACGCTGAAGCATTTGGAGACAGCCCTTAAGTTACTTAAACTTCCTGTAACACACACAAAAGCAGCAACTTGATAAATTCACTCTAAAACTACTGGCCTAACACCCTTCTGTGAACGGGCCTTTATAGCCCTGCAATTTTTCCTGAACATCCACAGTGCAGGAATCACTCCGCGCTATCCCCATCCCTGAGCCCCACCACTGCTGTAACTCGTCCCCTCACTCGCTGCACCCTTTTGTGTGGCCCAGCCCTACCTTCCCTTCCTCCTGAAGGCCCAACTTAGACACCACCAACCGTTTTCACGGAGCTGCTCAGGGCCTCCCACTGCTGGAAGGGGATGGTGATGTGGCTTCGTCGCCAGTAATCGTAGCGCGCCCGGCTCTCTTCGTTAGTGAGAATCTCCTTAGCTTGCTGCAGCTTCTGGAAACTCTCCACTAGAACACAAACCAAAAGGATGCTAAAGCCTATATTTGTTCTCAAAGCACTGAATTCAGATGCCAACAACAGCTCAGAGCAAACAGAACAGAGGAGGCAGCTGGAGAAGCCAGTCAACGAGGGATGTGGTTGTTCTGCTTCCAGCTTGCAGAGCTGTAGCTGGCGCTAGGAACACCTTTGGTGGACAGCTGATACCCTTTCAAATGAGAAATAAAATCCTGCTTAGTCTATTGGATTCAAAAGCTCCCAAATTTTAGCTTATAGAGTACACAGGCAAAAGGTACAAGTCAGCCCTTGCAGATAACCCTAAAAAGGGAAATTAGAGCAACACTCCTTAGAAGGAACACACTTGGATCTACAGAAGCAAGGATGTCAGAGCAAGGTACACCACCAGGAAAACATGAAAAGGGGAAAAACAGACAAGCAGACATTGATAAGCAAGAAGAATAATCTAAAGATAGTTCAAATTAATTAACTTGTGCATTTTGTTAGGTGTGCCCTCTCTATATATGCTAAAATGTCATCCTGAATACCAGACTGTATGAATGAGAGCTCTCGTTCTTCCCCACAGGGTCATTTCTCATGAAACGGTTACTAAGGATGCAGCTGCATGTTACTATTTGTAGAAGGGTTATAAAGATTTAGACTTTATCTATGACTCACCTATTTACAGTGATCTATTATTCATTTATTCTAGTCTACAAATTAGAGAGATTTCTTTTGAAATACACTATGCCCAAACACTAATCAAAATTGGTAACTACAAATCAAACAAGAGACAACAGGTTGAGGGGCCAGTTCTATTAGGTTTCCTTACAGTGTTACTAGTTTTCAGCAAAGAAAAGGTCTACTTTAATTACTCTTTATTGAGCTTTAAGCCAATGAAATAGAAAATATAAAGTAAACTTTCACCAGTAGCATAAAAAGGTATTTAAAGTAAATACAGCATGTTCAGTTAAATAGAGCATAAAACATTTCTTCTTGACAAACAAAGCTGGTTTGATATTCAGCACTTGGCCTCTCTTTTTTGAGCTACTTAGTTTCAATTGATTAGGAGGGAGAGATATGACACAGACTGGGGGTACACAAATAGAACAGGACCGTGCACTGGAATAGTCTCATTTCCCTGCTGCAGTAGCCAGAATTTTCTGCAGGTAAAGTTGATTCCATTGGTTTCACTGGTACTTGTGCTACCATTTTGAATAAATATTAGTGATCAGGTTACTGTTCATAGGTGGTAGATTGTCTGTCAAACAGCAAATCTCAGGGGGTCTCAGAGTCAAAAATGCCACCTATTTTACTCTTTAAACACCCACAGCCCCCTCCTCTCCTGTGAACTCACTAAGGAAAGGAAAGCCCTGCTTTATAGTTTATAGTTAAACCAATAGGACAAATCCAAAGAAAAAGTTCCGTGTGTTATTTAAAATGAGAAGCATATTAAATTATTCAACAACCAAATTTTGGTGGGGGATCAAAATCATGATCAGAACATAAGAATGTAAACTCCTCAGACGTGGGTGAGCAGTGACCAGACCTGTCTGTGGTTATGAATGGGTAAGATTGGATCCAAATAACTCAGGTGCCGCTTAGTCCTCACAGCTCAGGTCCCTGTTCTTGGGGGAAAAACAATCCAGGGGGAAAAAAAATCCTAGAAAACAAAAAATCCAACATGTGTCTTCCTGCACTATCACCTAGATGTGTGCAAGCCTTAGAAAAGACTATTAAAAGCTTACTATTTAAGTAGAATATGCTCTGTACACATGATGACTAAAATATATTGAGGGGAAGGAACATTTAACAAAGTTTTAAGGCTGAATTAAGTACCTTGGTCATGTTAATTGTTTTTAAACAGGAAATAATACATACCTGCTTTGGGGTTTCCAGGATGCTTGTCAGGATGACATTCAAGGGCTTTAATCTTATATTCTGCAAGAATTTGTTCAACCTAAATGGAATATTGAGATTTAAAGTAGGTAAATAGGTAGACACAGAAAAGGTTTTCAGACTTGATTTTTGAAAGAGGCTGGGAAAATTAACTAAGAATGCTGAAAGATTTTGTCCTATTCATTTTTACAACCTTTAGTACAAGCAAAGTAGGTAACAACAACCATCTGCCAGTGACACTGCTTACTTAATTTCATCTTCCGTGCACTCAGCCTTCTTTTTAGGAAGCTCAGTCATCCAATATGGCAAGTTGGCTCTAAGAAAAATGTGTAAAGGCATTTGACCACACAGGCAAAATGCCTCATTTCAGCTGCTCTTTACTTTGTTTAATCAACTCTAACTCTTTCTGTATTTCCGAAGATCAAATTGTGGGATTAGGTGGCTTTCTCCATATCCTCTTCATAGGAAATTCAGCCAGCACCACATGGCTTTTCCATCTTGGATACCCCCTTGCTAGATAACCAGCAGTTCACATTCTTTCTGTCAGGTTAATTTTCTGTGCAAAAAGGTTGGCTTGAAATAGATTTATAATCAATATTAGCACGTTTATTAGTGAATTACAAGTTCCCACACAGTTTGTAGTACCGTAAAGTATCACAACCACTGGAAAAACAAAGACATAACAACAGCTAACAAAATACAGGAAACCACTGGAGTGGACATCAGCTTAGATTTTCAAATGTTTAGTGCTTTTCCAAGTATCTTTCTGCTTATTATAATTCAGAAGCCAAAACTTCTTTATATCTTTCCGGTACAGCTTAAGCTTTCACAACAATTCACCCTGAGGTATCAATTAGTTACTATTCTTTCCCATACAAGAAAGGCTGTTTTATACATACAATTTAAATTATTTATTTCAAAATTAAGGCTCATAACATTTTGCCTTTAGAATAAAATCACAGTTTGCTCAACTAGTTGGCCAAATTTTGTTGGCATATGCTGGGAAAAAATGTGGTCTATGGTGGTATCTTAAAAATTCTACATTTTCCCTCTTCTCAGTAACTTCTTCTGGAGGAGCAGATGTAATGTGGTGTATTTCCAGTCAGTACAACACTTAAAAACACATATATGGTACAGAGAACTTGATGAAGCTGGTTACTGTATAGCCAACTACCATCTCAAAAGTTACTTAAAGGGGAACTTCGCAGTTAAAATCTGTACAGTAGCAGAGGAAGTCTGTGCTGCTACAAATACTTGACTGCATGTACAAAGGAGCATGGCTGCAAAACACTTGTAATGCTCCAAATTTCTGTTAGACCTTAGCAGTTCCGTGCAGTATCCTGAGGGGAGGTGATCCCGGAGCTCAGTCAGCCTGTGACCTCACCATGGCAAAAACAAGGCAGCAACATCCACTGCTTCTCTCAACAAACAGTACTTGACAGCTTGTTCTTCAGGACTCAGTAGCATTTATTCCAGCTTTTTAATTTCATTTTAAGCAACTTGAAAAATCGTTATCAGATGTACTTGAACTGCTCGTTAATTGCTAAGATCTTAAGGAATTGGTGTGAGGTAGAAAATGAGAAACAGCATCTACGAAACAAGCCTGCATGGAGACCTGAGCACTGCCCTCTGCTGGGATCCCTTCTAGGGGTTTCCTCAGGAAAAGCTTTACATTTCCTTCTGAGACACAACGAAGATGTTTCCTCTTGATGTTTACACTTGACCACTAGGACAGGCGAGAGACTAAATTTACTGGGCAAAATACAGCTTTTACCCCCACTGAATAAATCTCTCATTACAGCAAAGCTGTAATGCTCCTTTTCCAAAACAGAAAGACAATTCCAGTTAATATAACAGTTAGATTTTAAATTAAAAAAAAATTTAAAAATTAGCATACCAGACTTCCAAAAAAATGTTATACAGACACCTTTAGAATGAAGCACATTTGTTTTAGCTACAAATCACTCAACAACTGCTCAGCTAGATGTCTCGTTATAAAGAACGTATCTGCTACCAAACCAAATTAGTAAAGCTGGTATTTTAATGTCATTAAAAATAGCACTTAAAACCAGTAATATGATGAAGGAAAAAGATATTGTTTTTGTTTTTCCTCTGAACCAATGAATACAGTTAAAAAAACCTGAAATATGTATAGGACCTGAGAAACTCCAGCAGCGTTATCAGTGCCCTATAGCTATATAAAGATTCATTGTATTAGTAGCATATAAATAGCTTCTTTTCATTTTTCAAAACCGGTAACATATTCCAAAATATTATTTGGATGCTGTCACATGTATGCAGATGGCTCGTGATTCGTAACCACACCACTCGTTGATCTACACTAATAAATAAACCATTATTTCGGCTGTATCCGCAGCACACTCCTGTTCTACAGGGCACTTTTAACCTAAGCCTTATTCTGGGCTCTTCACGTCGGTGCACACATCAGAAAACCGAGCTTTCCAAGGGAAGTGCTACAAGTGGCAAGAAAGAAGGTTCACCAGGCATTTCAGACAGTCCTGCCCGCAAATCCCCCGCGGACAGCCGAGCACATCCAAACTGTGATTAACCGGGGGGACGAGGGAAGGTTCTTACCGTCGATAGCTCGTCGCATCCCAGCAAGTTGTAGTAATCCTCCAAATCCTCCGCGCTGCAGTTCAGGATCGCATCCATCGGCACTACTCCCGCGGGCTTTTTCCAGCCGGCACAGAGGTTGTAGAACACAATATCAATTCAGAGCTCACACAGGACTTTAAATCAGCCCAGGGCAACAGGCAGCTCCCCCGCCGGTCTCCAGCTCTCTCCGGTGCTTTGGAGCGCTGGCAGCTGACACGCAGGGATTGCAGGAGTTCTCTCCTGCCATTGGTCCCTGCAGGATGCCAACCCTCCTGCACAACCCTGCTCCCAGCAAAGCTCCCTGGGATTTGTAGTTGTCAGAGTCACTTCATCGTTAAACTGAGGATCCCGCCCAGACCAGAGTTCTGGGCACTGACCGAATCCTGGCCGAGATTCCGCTCACGCCAGTACCTGTGCAGCCACTGCAAACCATGCACAGGCTTAAAGGCTTCCCTGCCCCTGAGCCTACTCAAATACATCTGCTGCTCGATTTTTAATTGCAACTTCTGCCACAGTTTTTAAATGGGTAATTATAGAAAAGAGTAAGGAATACATCCAAAATAATGGTTATAGGGTACTGACCTTGCCAAAGTCTGTCGGTCACCTCAACAAAAATGGGGCAATCGACTCTCCAAGGCTTCCTCGGGTACATACACATCACTCCTCAAAACCAAACAGCTCCTGTGTATCAGTCACGTATCTGACAAAATTAAAACTATCCAAAGGCATTGTACTATTATCAAATTAAATAGGGACTCTTCCTCATGCTAAATTACTTTCAAATTGTGTATTGAAGGTCTGTACTGTGTGCAAACTGTGTTCCTTGTAAAACTCATTTTACACTCAAGTGAAATACCTTTAATTTTGAACTATGATTAGGGACCGAGGCCTCAGCCCAACAAAGACTACAGACACAACTGGTGTCTTCCATGATCTGTTATTTCAGGAGATTACATCCCAGGTGGAATACTAACCATGTGCTGAAGCATTTCCTCTGGAGTCTCAGGAGCTCTGTTTATACTTTTCCCACCCCTGCTTTGTAATCCAAGATGCTTCATGTCAGTAAATATTGCTGATTCTTTAAACTAATACTTAAAACAGATGCCTTCAGTAGGTACACAATTCTAGATGCAGTGACTTTGCAGGAGAGTCTGTGCAGAACAGATCCCCAGAGTGTGACAAAGGCTGGGACAGGTATGTGTGAATCAATGAAGGACCTAGTGGCCATTCAAAGTTGCTTATGAATAACAAATATATAATTTTTGCATCTACAAGTGCTTTACTTTATTATCTACATTATTACTGTTCTGCAATGACATTTATTATTAGTCTTCCACTGCTTTCTCTTCAAGGTTGTATTGTCTCAAGTTTTCTATTTTTACTGGATGTTCAGATAGCTTACTGAGATTACAAAATATATAAAGTACATGAAAACAAGCAATAATATTAAAAGACAAAGCACGAGCCTCAATGAAACCATTTAAATCTGTTGGAAAACTCTACCATCATATTTCTCTGAGTGAAAAAAACAACAGAAATGCTTCTTCAACTTGGAGTGGAAGAATTAGCAGTTACAAATCTGTCTCCCCCTATTAAATTCATAATTTAATAATAAATCAGAGAAGTATAGGAAAGAAATGAAAACCTTTTAGCAAGAGAATATGTAAATATTTAAATAGAATGTACTCAGGGGAGGACAAAAAACAAACAACTGTCCCTCCTCCCAACAGCATTCCTGACATCCCTTTCTTTTCCAAGTATTCCTTGCATATTTGCCAAAGGTGAAAGGGAAGGCTCTTTAACCCTTTTCCAGTCCAGCTTTCAGGGGCTATTTTTGTGGAGCTGCAGGCCCAAGAGCTGGATTCCAGTGACAAACCCCCAAGACTTGGAAGCTGCTCGTTCCCGGGGAATGTGCTCGCTGAAGCCCTGGTCCCATCTGTACTCACCTGCTGAGGCCAAATAAACACGGGCTTTGATCCAAACTGCAGCAGTGCCCACAGCTGTGCCCCTGCCCCCTGGATACCCCCAGGCCTTGGGGCACAAAGGCCCTGAAGGGTTGTGTACAGAGGACACAAAACACTGACACCAAATATCAACTCAGCCTCCTACTCTTCCTCCTGACTTCAGTGGGGCAACTCCCAAAGCATCATCAAAAAGGAGAACATGTAATACACAGGAAAAAACCCCAAAGATTAGCCCCAGGACATAAAGTTTATTTGAAATGTAATCACAGCACAGGACATGGCACACGCTGTGGTTAGTGTTGCTCAGGAGGTACAAACAGTTCTGGAAGTGAGGAAATCTTGTATTTGTTCTCTGTACCCAACCACCAACAAACCACATCTATTCAGTCCCAGCACAGACCAACAGTTTTGCTTGTTTAGATCCAAGTGCAAAACTAAATTCTGGTTCAGTATAACAGGACGTTTACCAACACCCTGTAAAAGTCACAAATAGCCCTTTAAATAAAGCAGCAAGATCTGGAAATCTATTTGAATTTATTCCTCTAAATACACCAGATCCTCCAGGACCACTTCTTCTCAACTGACTTCAGTGGTTTTGCTTCCTCAGGGCAGAGTGCACATTTAGAAGAAGTTCAAGGCACAATATGGCTCATTTGAGTTTTGCATTTCATGCTCCATCCCTGTCCCCACACAAGCTCAGAGAAGCAGAAATGGAAGAGGACAAAGCACTGCCAAACAGACTTCCCAAACTAAGGGTAACTACTGCAACACCATTATTACTGTGATAAATGTCTGCAATATCAGAGGCAGCTTTAGGATCCTCAAGTCACTCCCTCACCAATACCTTCAGATGATATATCTACATCACTTACAGATTTTCTTCCTTAGAACGCAGTCTTCACATAAATAACCAACAAAACAAGAACATTAAAGCCCCATCTCTCCTTTGTATGCTGACAAAACCACCTTGCATGTGCTTCTTAATAAATCTGATTCTTGCCTCAGCTTCAGTAAGGAAAAAGAATGCTTGCATGTAAATTTGCACAGAAAAATAAAAACTATCTGATTCACACCTGGTTTCTCAGCAGCTTGTTTCGAGACAGTGTGGAAAATGGCACGTACGTATTTTTCAGGGTTGTTAATACCTGAAAGAACCACAAAAAAAAAAATCATTCCCTCCCCTACAAATACATAGACCACCTATAAAGTCAGTTATCTATAAAATAATCCCTTTTGAAGCCAAAACCCATGTGACAACAATTTCAAGCCAGTCTTTTAAAAACTGTCAGCTATCAAGGCCTGAAAGGAGGAAATTCTACCTGTGTAATCTGGGTCTTGTCACTAAACCTAGGGATTCCATTGTATTAAATTCACTAAAACTCTTCTGCAAACAGCTTGTGATGTTGAGCAGTAACGTTAAAAAAATATTTACATTTGTAGCCGAGTTGTCTCCAGCCCAGACCCAGGGGCAGAAAGCAACGCTACACCACGGAAAGCCCACGGGCGGTACCTCCGTGTTTGCCACGCGGTGACAGACCCACTTCAGCATCACGGTAGGGCACTAAGGACCGCCCCTACAAATCACATCACGAAAGAGACCGCTAGAAAAACCAGCGGGCACCACAGAGAGCAGCACCCCTCCAGGGCACGCGGGAACGAATGAACTTGGGGCTGCTATTAGAGCAAACCCAGGAGCCGCTGTTCAGACGGGGGCTGACCCCACAGAAGGCTCCTGCAGCTCGGGAGCTCGAGCACCGCGGTACAAAATCCCAGAAGACAGGGGGCTAAGGTGTTATCCCAGAGGACAAGGGGCTATGGTGCTGAGTTATCCCAGAGGACAAGGGGCAGTACCTTCGAACATGCTGACCGCGAGCCCGAGGTGCCGGTGCACACCGTCCCCGGGCAGGCACACGGCAGGGATGGCAGGGGGTAGGTAGGGGGAGGCAGGGACAGGTAGGGAACGGCAACGGGACGGCAGGGGGAAGCAGGGGATGGCAGAGGCAGCCGGAGCGGCCCCACGCTGAGCCGTCCTGGGGCAGCCCCTCAGCGCCGCGGTGACAGGAGAGGCCTGTGGGGAACGGAGGGGGAGCCGCAGCCAGCGCGAGCGCCACGTGACGCCGGCAGCGCGCGCGGTCACGTGCCCCGGTGTGTTGTTTGCCGCGGTCACGTGCCGCGGTCACGTGCCGCAGCGCTGCCCGCGGCGGGCGGGGGGGTGAGGGGGGGGCCGGGCGTGAGGGGGGCGGCGGCTGCGGCGGCGCCAAGATGGCGGACGGGGACGCTGCGCCGCTCCGCCCGCGCGGCCCCGGCCCCGCCGGCCCCGCCGGCAGCGAC